GCGACGAAGCGGAGTGGTGGACCAGAATACTGTGAATTTTTCCTTTTCAGCAGCTTGTTCGGTCAGAAATTAGGAGAGTGAAGTGAGAGCCACTGAAGGAGGACCGCCGGGGGAGGAGGAGGAGGACGAGGAGGAGGAGGAGGAGGAGGAGGAGGAGGAGGGGAGCGGGTGCAGGATCAGTGCAAACCCAGACTCATCAACGATGTTGCAAGACTAATTCCTTCCGAGTTCCCTTTTCATCGGTTCCTACGATGATCCTTTTTCACTGCGAAAAAAAGCCCCGTTGGAAGACAACCGTCGCAAAACCCGCAATCGTGCCAGAGCACATTCTTGGGATTTCCACGCCACGAATCAGCGTTACTGATGCAATTTGGCGATCCGAAATCGTATCATAACATAGTTTCTAGAACGTCGACACCGCGAATTCACTTGACTGTCGTGACCTGACAACCCTAAGTCGTGTCAGAGCATCGTTTCTGGGACGTCAGTCATAAGAATCCTTGAAACTGCTGTAATCTCGAATGCGCGCGGAACTAAGGCGATTGCCGAATTTGTGAAAATCACCCACCCTCCATCCGTGAAATTCCTACAAACGTTTCAGGCGAATGTGGGCGGTGCCATCCTTGAAGCTGTTGCAAATTTCAGGCTGCAAGATCATAGATGATGTAAAAGTCTCAGGCGGCACGCCCGACCCGCCCTGCGGACCCGTCTCGGGGTCGGCAGGGAGACGCCAGTTACAAGGAAGAGGGATGGAGAAGAAGGACGAGGCGGCCTTGTCGCCTACGAGCTCATTCAACAGAATTGTGCAGCGTATGACGCAGAGTTGCACGCAAGGTGGAGGACACATGGTGTCACTCTAGTTGGCGGTGGCGGGTCCATGGTTGGTGGGCAGAGGAGGAGGAGGAGGTGGAGGCGGAGGAGGAGGAGGAGGGAGGAGGGAGGAGGAGGAGGAGGGGGAGGGGGAGGGGAGGGGGGAGGGGGAAGGGAGGGGGGGAGGAGGGGGAGGGGGAGGGGAGAGGGAGGGGGAGGGGAGGGGGAGGGGAGAGGGAGGACAATGAGAACGAGGAGCACGAGGAGGACGAGGAGGAGGAGGAGGAGCAGGAGGAGGAGGAGGAGGAGGAGGAGGAGGAGGAGGAGGAGGAGGAGAAGGAAGATCAAGGCTGTCAGACGCTTTCGCCCTCCTCGGACCCCTGGAGAGGCCGGGGGCCTCAGGTGGCCTCCTGGGCAGGGACCTTTGGAGGCTTCCAGGCTTCAGCGGCCTCCAGGGGTCGGGAGGCCTCAGGGGATCTCTCGGGACCCCCTCCAGAGACTTCCAGAGAGCTGCGGTGGACAAACTTTCGGGGTGGACAGAGCCCCCACCCTGACACGTCGATTAGTGAATTGTCCGTTTTCGGTTCTCGAGAGGGCGCCGCGGCCATCATTTTCCAGGCTTGCGCCCGCCAGGTTTGGCCCGAGGTCGTTTTCACTAAACCACGTTTTACTAAAGGGGTGTTCTGTCCATCCCCGACCCTTCGAGGGAGGGGGAAGGTCGAGGAGGGCGTCTTGTGATTGAGGGTATTCAAGCCCAATCCTTGCTCAGGGTGTCGGCGCCAGTGTCCAGCTCGGGCTGCCACAAGAGAACGGGATGAGGAGCGGGATGGAGGGCCCTTTTGAGAAGGCGGGTGGAGAAGGACGACGACCACGTGGACAAGGAACTCTTGGTCTGGGGGGAGACTCTGAGGGGATTCTTATCGTGAGGAGAGGTGGGGATTGATTTTACGGCGTGTGTGAGCACGTGGGTTGGGTGTTGCTCGACCTCCGCGTTGGCCAGATATCGATTCCCCTCCATTCCAACTTTGAACATGGTGTGACCCGCATTGTATTGTGGAGCTCGTGCCGAGCGTCCCTCATGTTGGTTTCAATCAGTGTTGCCGCGGCACATTTTCAGACCTTGATGGGCACAGCACACCTGCTTCAAGTGGGGGACCAGCGGTCATTTCCCCCCCTGGCCGACGCCTCGGGGGGTCAGAAACACAGCTCCCCAAGTTGTGGCTGGTCGGAGCAGACGGGCTCATAAACACATCCTGCAAGCGGGTATATTTCTGACACTAAACCTCCCATTTTCGTGGCGCCCCGATTTTTTCCCAGGCATTCATCAGTCGGTTGCAATTTTGTGCACCACCGTCCGCTCAAATTGTTCCAATGTGTTCGTCCGATAGTTTTCAAGATGGGTCGCGGTCGCGGTTCATGCGAGGAGGGACGACCAATTCGTAGGACGAGCTGGAGTGAGAGGTGGATCCAGTTGGCCGAGTCGAGCGAGTCAGAGGCAATACAGGCTGGCCCAGCACGACGGTCGCGAGTCAGAGGCAATACAGGCTGGCCCATACAGGCGAGTCGAGAGTCAGCGCGTCCAGTCGCTACGACGGCAATACAGGCTGGCCCATCGAACAGGCACGATGGTGGACAGCTGGCCTGCTAGAGTAGCGCGTTGGCACTCACCCGTAACGTGTCTCGGGGCTGG